TCCTATCCTGGGATCCCTGATGAACTGTGACCTGGGAGACATAAGACAAAATAGCCCCTTTCCTCCCCAAGTTGGTATTGGTTAGAACGTTTTGTCACAGCAATGGAGAAACAAACTAGGACAATGTGTGTGAGTGTATTGCCTGCATGTGTGTAAGTGCACCTGTGTCCTGCAATGCCTGTGGAGGTCAGAACAGGGCATCGGATCCCCTGGAACTGGAGTTACAGAAAGTTCTTAGCTGGGTGCTGGGAATCAAACCCGGTCCTTTGCAAGGGCAGTCAGTGCTCTTAACCACTGAACCATCTCTTCAGTCCCATCATTTGGTTCTTTTCCTCGATTTCCATTTCTTGGTTGAACCTTTATTGTTTTCCTGATTTCATTCAGTGATCTTTCTGTGTTCTTTGTACTTTACTGAGCTCCCTTCAAGCAATTATTTTGAATTTTTTGTCAGTCAGCACATACACTTCCATTTCTTTAGGGTTTGTGTGAGAAAAGTGTTCGGCTGTACTAGTGGTGGGGGTTCTTTGGGGCTCTTTGGTTTTCCTTTTCTCTTTTTGTATTAATGTGTGTACGTTTAGTGGAGCAGCCAGTTCCAAGACTTTACAGGGTGATTTTTGTAGGGAATTATCTTCTCCTATGGACAGCTGGGATGGTGCTGGTTGGATGAAGTGGATACTTAAGTTTCAGTCGGGATCAATGTCACATCTCCATGTAGTTCAGAGTGATTGCTGGCAATGAATTCAGGGTCCTCTGCAGCCACGACAGGTTGTCTATAGTGGCAGTGCTCTTGGGGTCTTTGTTGAATGTTGCTAGGGTCTTTTATGGAGGAGTTTGTGGCTGGGTTTGGATCATGGGGTTGCCCAGGGTGGCAGTAGCATTCATATCTGATACATAGTGCCTGGGGAACACTGATGTGGTTGGGGTCTAGAGCTTACAGATTAGTGGTGGAGATGGAGCCACAGACCAAATGCATATAGTGTGTCTGTAGAGCCAGAGTCTGGAGTACACAGTGGCTATTGCTGTAGCGCACAGGGTGTGTAAGGCTGTTTCCATTTCCTGGCTATTGTGAATAGAGCAGCAAAACATGGATGGTCATGTATCTCTGTAGTAGGAGGCAGAGCCTTTTGGATATATGATATATGAGTGATACAGCTGGATTATAAAGTAGAGATAATTCTGGCTTTTTAAGAAATTCCCACACTGATGTCTGCAATGGCTGTACCAGTTTGCATTCCCACCAGCAGTGGGTAAGAGTTCCCCTTTCCCCACATGCTTGCAGAATTGGTCCTTATTTGTTTTTTTTACATCTTAGTCATTCTGAATAGGGTAAGATGAAATCTCAAAATAGTTTTAATTTGCATCCTTAATGGCTAAGGATGTGGAACATTAAAAAAATTCTCAATCATTTGTGTTTCTTATTTTGAGATCTTTCTGCTTAGTTTCTTGCCCCAATTTCTAATTGGGTTGCTTGTTTTTTTGGTGTTTAGTTTCTTGAGTTCTTTGTATATTCCAGATACTAACTCTTTGGTGGATGTATAGTTTGTGAAGATTTTTCCCACTCTGTCTGTTATCCCTTCACTAGAATTATGGAGTCCTTTGCTGTACAGAAGTTTTCAGTTTCATGGGGTCCTATTTATCAATTGTTGGTCTTAATGCCGGTGCTATTGGGGTCATGTTGAGAAAGTCCTTTCTTCTGCTTATAAGTCCTAGTGCATTCCCTACTTTCTCCTTTATCAGATTCAGTGTATCAGATCTTATGTTGAGGTCCTTGATCAATTTGGAGTTGCGTTCTACGCAAGGTGAGAGATAGGGATAACATTTGTTGAACATGATATCTTTCAACCAAGGTGTAGGTTTTTATCTCTTTTAGAAAAATCAGGTGACTGTGAGTGGGTAGACTTAAATCTTGGTTCTAAATCATGCTCCATTGAGCAATGTGTCTTTTTCATGCTGGTAATACACTGTTTTAATTTGCTATAGCTCTGTAGGATGGAGATCATGATCCCCCAGCTCTTCTGTTATTCAGGATTGCTTTGGCTATGCTGTTTTTCTGTGTGTTTCCATAGAAAATTTGAGATTATTTTTTCAATTTTTGTGAAGAATTCTGTTGGAATTTTAATGGGGATTGCTTTGAATCTGTAGATTCCTTTTGGTATGATGACCATTTTCGCAATATCAGTCCTACTGATCCATGAGCATGGGCGATCTTTCCATCATCCACATCTTTGATTCATTTCTTCAGTGTCTTAGGGTTTTTATTATACAAGTCTTTCACCTCCTTGGTTAGATTTATTCCAGCATATTTCAGTTTTTGAGGCACTCATAGACTCATTTCCCTGGTTTCTTTCTCAGTATGTTTGTTGGTGGTATGTAGGAAGACTTCCAATTTTAGTATGCTAATTCTGTATCCTGCTACTTTGCTGAATGTGTATTTTATGCATAGAATCATATCATTTGCAAAAAGGAGTACTTTGACTTCTTCCTTTCCAGTATGTGCCCTTTTACCTCCTTGCTTTGCCACTCCAGCTAAAACTTAGTGTGCTGTATTGCACAGGAATGCAGAGTGGTCATCTTTGTCTCATTCTCGATTTCAGTGGAAATGCATTGAGTTTTTCTATTTAGCAGAACGTTGACTGTGGACTTGTTCTATATTGCCTTTGTTATGCTGAGATATGTCTCCTGTATCATGGGAGGCGCGACAGAATGCAGTGGTACAGAGGAAAAGGGGAATAATGGACCAGGGAGGGATAAATGGGGTGGAGAATGGGAGGATAGGGCAGAGGAGGGTATATGGGAAGGGTACTCAACACTAGAGACCTTTAGAAAAAGTCATACCTACAATAGAGGATTTAAAAACTGTTATACATACAAAATATAAAAACTGTTTAAATGGAGTTACTCTATATCAGGGGCTAATGCCTCTCCCAGAT